TCCTTCAACCATGGATTACAAAATAACGGTTGCCTAAGTACTTCCTCCTTCGTCCTTGGTTTTCTTACTCTTGCCGGGAATATATCTGTCCAAATCTTAAGTATTTGAGCCCAGTATGCATTCCCGGTCGAATCATCTTCCCCTTCCTGTATTCCTTCTCTTCTCCTTTTGGCCAAACCTTTACAAAAAAAAACAGAACGTTCCTTCCATATTAGGAGGAGTTTTATACTTAGCCATCCCTCGTATATGGTCCAAAACCAATGGAACCCAGCGGAGATGGGGTTGTGTGAGTAATTTGATAACCCATTTAGTTTGGAGTGCTTTGATCTGCTGACCCGGATCGAGGATTCCCAAACCCCCCTGATCCTTTGTCTGCATAACCTATCTCCATGCTACCTTTGAAATATAATTTATCTTAGTAGGGTTCGCTCTCCTGAGCTTGTTTAGAGAGTGTAATGGAGGTGTCCATATTGTTCCAGCGTACCATAACATGGAGAAGATAAAAGCGTTTAATATTAGTGCCCTCCCAAAAAGTGACGTGTAAATTTCAGACCATACTGACATTTTGGCTAACATTTTGGTCATCTGTTGTTGTGTCATCGAGTAGTGAGGACCTGTATCTGCTAGTGTGATCCCCAAATACCTCAGTGGTTGATCTGATGACGCCCATGTCATTGCCCCAAAATTTGGCGGGTGAGGTAGAGTTTGATGGTCATCATGTGATAGCCACCATCCCACTGTTTTAGGCCAATTAATTTTCATTTCCGAGGCCAGTTGGAAGGCATCCATCGCTTTCGTGAGGGCTTGAAAAGACGAATCTGTAGCCCTAATTAGGACCGTCAAATCGTCTGCGAACAGTATCGTTGTTGGCAACTGTATGAGACGACCCTGTTGATCCGGTTCCATTATCAGACGATCTATGCTTGGGTCTTTCCTGAGAAAGGAAGCTATAGCCTCCATTATAAACAGGAAAATAGGTGCCGCCAGCGGGTCCCCTTCTAACCGATCTACTCATTTTATATCTTCCTGATAAATGACCGTTGACTTGTACCTAACCATGTGCGTCATTATACAACACCCTAATCCATTTGCGAAAGTTAGGCCCCACGCCCATCTTCTCCAGGCATTGTTGCAGAAAGTTCCAGTTTACCTGGTCATATGCTTTCTCAAAATAAAAAAAGAGAATTGTTGCGTTAATCCTCTTGTCTGTAATATACCTGACCGATTCTGATAAGGTCATTACATTATCCAATATAAATCTCCCCGGGATAAAACCTGTTTGATCTAAATGGAATGCTCTGTCTGTTATCCTTCTCAATCGATTTGCCAAAGCTTTAGCTACTATCTTATGAGTAAGAGTCAGAAGTGTAATCGGTCTATAATTTCTGATATCTTTGGGGTCTCCCTTTTTATATTGAAGTGTAACTATTCCTGTCGCCGATTCCACCCCTAGACCTTCTTTTTGCTATGCGTAGTTGAGGAAGGCTTCGTATTCTCCTCCCAAGATAGGCCAAAACTCCATCCAGAATTCTTTTGT